TCCTGATGTTGAAAGGTCTGAATTGTTGCCAGCTATATCTTTGAACTTGCTAAATAAATTATTGCATTTTCTAAGACATTCCCAGAATTTTATTAGCTTCTGAAAGTTACCTTTTTTCCTCTCTTCTGTTTTAAGCTACCTTTTCCACATCCATCACTTCTTAGAATCATAGAATGCGCTATCCATTGCACTTTCTAAGAATGATTAATTATTCTAGAAAATTATCAAGCATGTCTCTGTGAAGGCTGAAAAAATTGGAAAATTTATTCTCAAATATTAAAATTTGAACAATTCAATCAAAATGTATTTCTAATGACAAATCTTCAACATCACTAGTCATCAGAGAAATGCAAATCAAAACCACAAAGAGATATCTCACTACAGTTAGAATGATTGTTATCAGAAAGATTAAAAATGACAAATGCTAGTAGAATACAGAGAAAGTGAAACTCTGGTACATTGCTGGTGGAAATAAAGTTAGTACAACCATTATGGAAAACATCATGGAGATTATTTTAAACACTAGAAATAGAACTGTCAGGATCCAGCAGTCTCACGGTGGGGTTTATATCCACACGAAATGAAGCAGCGTGTTAAAGTGATAACCTGTATGCACATGTTTGTTGTTACATTGTCTACAGTATCCAAGTTACAAAGCCAACCTGAATACCTGTCAGCAGATGAATGGATAAGGACAGTGTGGAGTATTTGCACAGTGAACTGTCGTTCACCCACAGAAAGAATGAAATTCATGTGCAGCAACAGGGATGAAACTAGAGGTCCTTACATTAAGTGAAATAAGTCAGGCACACAAAAAACAGATGCTTAGTGTTCTTGCTTTCTTGTAAAAGCTAAAAAGTTGAGCTGACACAAGGAGAGAGTCAAATTGCAGTTTCCAGAGGCTGGAAAGGATGTGAAGGAAGAGGGATGGAGAGCTCTTACTTAAAACACTCCTATTCCAAGACCCCTTTAGTCTCTAGCTTGTTTTATTATTGCAACACTTTCAAGGATGATTCTTATATTAGTTGAATGAATACAGATGAGCTGAGAAAAAAATTTTTTGGTGTGCTGCCAGAGAGACATTTTACTGATTATGTAGATCTGGATTGTTCACTGTATGTCACCTTTTTGAAGTTCCATAAATTCCCCAAAATACTTTATAAAATGTCATGTCTAGCTGGGTGTGGTGGCACATGCCTATAATCCCAACACTCAGGAGGCTGAGGCAAGAGGATCACTGCAAGTTCAAGGCCATCCTGGGCTACATATTGAATTTAAGGCTAGCCTGAACTACATACTGAGGCCCTGTCTCCAAATAAATAAATAAACAAATAAATAAAATGTTTATGAATGTGGCAGTTTTCAAAGGAAAAGATTCACCTACTTCAGAGAGGTATAAAGAATGACTGGCTTTTATTTAAAATCTTGTCCTAGATTGAGCTAAAGACCATGTAAGCAATCTCAGTGCTTAAAATAAATTGTTTTACACAAAATGTTTGCAAAACTATCATCCCATCTATTAGCAGATGTTAAGTCACAGGGCTTAACTATCAGCATAGTAAAGAGTTGCATTCTACAAAGTTGTTGAAGGTACCATTCACCATGCTACTCACTCAGTGTCCTCTTTATGAGGGAACTTCTCCTCCTTACTGCAGACACACACTGATACTAAGAAAAGTTTCTCCTGATCATAGTTACATTAACCCTTGTGCTCTTTTGAATCATTGGCTTAACTTTATTTTTAAAGATGCTGTGAGTCACCTAACTGATCATGTTTCCATCTTCCATTGACTATGTAAAGTGCAGAGCAAAATCTAGCCGTTGTATGGCATGCATTTACTTGGTTCTCCGTATTTGCTTCATTTTATTTTTATAACTCATCCTTCTAGAACTAGCTGAGTTATTAATGAAAAGTAGTAATAGAGGTTTTCTCAGCTCATTTATTCAAGTTGGGACCAAAATTTGTTTTCCTTAATTTTTATTCACTTTTTGAAAGGTAAATACAACAAAATATGATTTCTGTTATATTTCCAAGACTAAATCACAGCAAAATTCAGACCTCATGTTTATGTTCTACTCTTGTTTGTTAAAGCATACTGTATAACTAACTTTTCTCCCCCCTCAAGGCAGCCAACAGTTAGATTCTATTCACGTAACGCAGTTGGAGAGAGACACCGTTTTAGTGTGTTTAGACAGTAAGTACTGTTAATTTTGAATATACTTCTTGTTAAAATGATTTTTTAATGTAATTAGTTCTATGAAACTAGAATTCAAGAGTTTTATTTCTCTATTTTAAACCTGGTTTCATTGAAGAAAAAAATGAAATTGACTACCAGTAATTCATCTGTTTTTCAGTGCTTTCCCCTGTCACCTTTTTATATATATTTGGCCTGTTTGCCATATCTTGGGGTAAATTTTATGTAAACTATTCTCTCTCCTACTTAAGTATAACTAATGAAAAGTAGAAGCTCACAGTCACTAGAAAGTCATTAAACATTAACTTTGGAGATGCATCAGAGTGTATTTCTAATATACTTACAGATTTGACACTTTCACCTACTGGCTATGATTCTTTTGGTACAGAGAATGTTACTGAAGGAAGTGTGAGTAGTTTGAGGTAGAAAAAACTTCAGGAGCAGATATTATTTTTATTTTGCAAATTAATCACTCTAGTTTGTAAAACCCACCTCATTTTTATTCAGTAAAATCCTACAAGATGGAATCCCCCCATACAGGATTGTATTTGAAACTTGATAGTATTTGCTATAACTGGTCCAAAATGTTTGTTTTTAATGACTAGACCTACCTATAAGTGTTCAAGGTTATTTTGAAAATTGTTCTACTACTGATTTTGCCCATTTTTTCTGTCATAATCTCTGTATGCTCTGAAGATACTTACTGTACTTTATAGAATAGTAAATATCATTTAATATTATAAATGAGTAAACTAAAACCCACATGTTTTCATTCACTGTCATCCCTTTGTGAGGAACTTGATTCTCTGAATACTCTGCTAATGAGATTGGAGTGTTACTCAGTTGTCCTTAAGGAAAGTTGATCGATTTTCTTTTTATCCAAACAAATAGAAAATATGGTATTAACCAAATAATTAGATTTAACATTAAATCCCCACATATCCTATGAGTCATCAAAGGAAGATAAATTGTGCTTAGCTTTCATCTTGGTAATAATGTATAATTTTATCACAATTTTTAAAAAGTCATTGATCAGCTGGGCTCAGTGACAGATGCCTATAATCCTAGCACTATGAGAGACTGAGGTAGGAAGATCGCAAGTTTGATTGCTTGGGTAATTTTGTGATTTAGTGAAATGCCATCTCAGAATAAAAATATTTTTGAAAGGGCTAGATGTGTAGCCCAGTGCAAAGGCCCTGGGTTCAATCCCTATTGTGTGGCAGGTTGATTAAAAAGGCTCTCTACTAATTGATTAATTCCTAGTTAATTGAGGTAACTAGTAAGTGATATTCTTGAGATTTCTGTTTTTTAAAGGCATACAAGAAGACTTCAAAAATTTGTTGTAAAAAAAAAAAGGGAGCCGGGGATTTAGCTCAGTGGTTCTGCTTACCTCACAAGTGCAAGGTCCTGAGTTCTATCTCTGGTACCAAAAAAAAGAAAAAATTGTTGTCAGCTATACAATTTATAAGTTGATTTTAGTGGACTGTAGTGGGCTTATGATCTCAAATCATGGTAGTAGATATATAGATATAACTTCTAACTCTGAGTGAAAGATGATGAAATTAAAAACAATTAGACAAAAGGGAGTTGAATTATTTTATTTGCTCCCCACCCTAGGATTTACTGCCTTAAGAGTGCTGTTTCTTGCTCATGTGTACCTTTGCAGAATAGAACTCGTGTAGTAAAGTTATAATTACTGCAAATATAACATATGTTATGTAGTTTATAAGGAAAAAACCCTTATCACTAAATAGGCACCAAAATAGCCACTTTTAAAGAAGAAATTTTTATTTTTTTTAAAGATGAGAATGTCAGTGTTCATTATATACTGCGTGAAAAAGAAAAACAGCGGAATTGCCATTTACCAAGGAGACATTCTTAGAATATATCTTTTAAACATGTTAATGATGACTTTTCATCAGGTACACTTAAGTAAATCATGGAACTTTATTAATATCATTTAATATCCATATAAAATGCATATATCGTGTCATGTTATATTTGTTTTAGGAAATTTATATTTCCAGTTTTGACTTTTGCTTTTAACTTTTTTAAGAATTTGTAAAAATTGTAAATCTTCAAGGAAAACTAAAGTCAAGTAAGAAACTAGCCTCAGAGCTAAGTTTTGATTTTCGCATTGAATCTGTAGGTAAGTCCCTGTTTTATTTACTGAGTTTGGAGTGTATGGGGCTTTTTGTTCATTTGTTCATGGTTGAGGTTGTCTAGATCAGCACTGTCTCCTACAAGTTTCTGTGATGATAGAAATGTTATTTTTCTCTGCCCTTAAATATAGTAGTCATTAAACACATGCAGCAAGTAAGCATTTGAAACATGATTAGTGTTATAAATTACTTTTTAATTTTTTAATTAACTTTTAGTATAAATAGCTACATGTGGCTGATTGCTACTATATTGGACAGAGCAGGTCTTGACCATATTATTTCCTGAATATTTAAACTTGTTACATTTAAATTTTCTGTTCATTATTCCCATTGCTGAATCAAATAAATTATACTTCTCCCAGTTCCTTTCAAATCATGAAGGTATTTGTGTTATACCAGTGTTAGATATGTTATAATTCTTTGCCATATAAGATTGTATTTAGTGTGTTTTGATGTCTGTTGCTTTTAGGTCTATTTACATATAAGTAGCAGGTTTCCCACAGGATTTAGAAACTCATGCCATTTTGATTTTATGACAAAAATCATTACAGCTTATTGTTATATGCATCCTCCTTGATTATATGTCAGTATTTTTCCCAGCAGTGATAGGACTTACAAGAAAAAATATTATGGCTGAAAACTTTGGAGATACTGGGAATTGAACCCAGGACCTCACACATACTAGGCAAGTGATCTACCACTGAGCTACATCTCCAGCTCTTTTTAAATTTTATGTATTTTCATTTTTGAGACAGGATCCCACTAAGTTGTCTAGACTGGCCTCAAACTTACAATCTGTCTGCTTCAAGTAGCTGGGATTACTGGCATGTACCACCATACCCAGCGCTACAAATGCTTTGAACCGTTGATGATGCCTTTCAGCCAAAGATCAAAGAAAAGAGTTAAAGTTGGCAGTTTCTATTTATTTAATAGACTTATTTTATAATTACATGTATATTCTTTTTAATGTTTTTCATTTTTTAAATATTCTAATATGAGTTTCTCCTATTAAACTGAATTTTTCCTCTGTCAGAAAATATAAGGGGGTAAGGATATAGCTTAGTAGTAGGATGTATGAGGCCTTGATTTAATTCCTAGCACCAAGAAAACACAAAACAAAAATATGTTTATGCTTTTGTTTAACATCTGACATAAAAATAGTTTTCTTATAATTAGGAAACAGTTTATTAAACAGAAAACCCAAACTTTCTGCATTACTGAAACAAAAGGAATTTTGGAGTTTCTAGTTTCTTCTTTAACTTCTTCATGTATGTTTCTGAAAGAGCTGCCATACAGATCAGAGCCCTTCTTCATTCTAATTGAGACATTCTGGTATCTCCACCTTTTCATATATGGCAAATTATATAGAAAATTTTGCAGAAGTGTTCCTTCTAGGCTCCTGTTTCTTCTTGCTAGTAAACACTGGAATGATCACAAGGACTCTGTTGGATAGAAGAGTTCCTTAAAATCTTGTCTTAAGGTTAGACCCAGTAACTGGATATTTTATCACCATTCACTTAGGTGACATTTGTCTTTATGAGAATGAGATACTATTCCTTTTATTGAGCTGAATTATGGTCCCAGAACATTCTTCCACTTACTCTGTACATAGTATTCTAATAAGAAATATAAGTAGGGTCAGGGTAGCTCAGTGGTGCTGTGCCTGCCTCCCAAGCACAAGGTCTTGAATTCCATCCCTGGTACTCTACCCCACCCCACCCCAGAATATATATATGTGTGTGTAATTTTCAGTCACTTTCCACAGTTGTCTTTGTTTTTGCTAATTCTGTTTAATTATCTCTAATACTTACATTATAAGAATAGGTTAAATACTAAGCATTTTTATACAATTAATTCAGACCATAAATATTCAATATGTGATTAAATTTGGAGTACAGGCAAATTTACTGCTTAAAAAATGTTTTGTAATATGGAAAATGTGAACATAAAAGACTTTTGTTTAATAGCTACTTAACTAATCATTTTTTAGCCAAAAACACAGGTGTATATGTTTCTTGTTTTGGTGGTATTTTAAATCCCACCCCCTGTATAGTATTTATTATTCACCTCAAACAAAGGATACAGCCTGTAAAAGGGAAATTAATATGCTAATATTTAGCTCATCAGAAATCAACCTATATTTAAATGAGTGCCCGTTATATATCTGAAAACTTGCATAACTCTGCCTCAGTAAAGTACTTGAGTTTAAACACGTCTTAGCCACAAAAATGTTGAGAATTAATGGTCTAGACAGTGGAATTTTGCCTTAAGCACTTGAACAGCCTTAGGTTATTATTTGTTAAAAAACAAAGGGAAATTGATAGTGAAATACTAGTTTCAGTCTCCCTTATCTTTTTTAGTATGCCTTCAAGACAGTGTGCTGGCTTTCTGGAAACATGGAATGCAGGGGAAAAGCTTCAAGTCAGATGAGGTAAGTTTTTGACCTCAGATTACCTCCCCACCTCCCACTGAAGAAATGTTAAAAACATTCATTTTTTGCATGTCCCCTCTGAACCCACGTTACCACTTTTAATGCCTTTAATACTATGAACTGGCAGAGTAAAAGAACAGGTATTTTAATATGTTCACTTTTATATTTTTAAATTCTTAGTGTCCACAAGGAATTACAAAATAGTATAAATTTACACAATTTCTTTCCTCTGATTTGTAGTTTGTAACTATGGTTGCTGACCTTGCTGGGCTTTTTTAAATTTAATGAGTATAATCTATAAATATAATAGCTTCTTTTTAAATATTTTAAGCTACAAATTAGTATGTAGTGGATCACAAGACTGAAGAAAATTAACTCATTTAGGAAGTAGCAAGTACCAAGTACATTGAAAATACTTGTTATAAATAATACACAATGCCTGTTGTGTTCCAGACATAATAGTGGCTCATTTTTTTCCCACTATTTTTGTTGTTTAGATGAATGGGTTTTACTTTGGCAGATTCATACAGAACATAACATACTTGGATCATTGTCACCTCCACAGCATTCACCATCCCCTTACTTTTATATATTGTAGAGGGTTTCAATGCATATATTTTGCTTATTTCTGTCCCACTCCTTCCTTGCCCTAATACCCTCTCTCCTCCTCCTTATTCCCTTCCTCTTGACTAAATATGAATTTGATGCCCATGGAATAGATATTATTTATATTCCCGTTTTGCAAGTATAGAGTGGTTAAGTAATGTCTCCAGGCACATAAGTAATTTAGTGGCAGAGCCTAGATTTGAAGGATCTCTAAAAATCACTTATAGCTGAAATAATCAGGATATTTTCATGCCAGGGAAGGGGCTTGGGTTCCCACATTGGGGAATGAATCTTGCTGTAACAGACATTTTCCATTTATGTCATTTTCTACACTATAACCTCATCGATTTTTGAACTTACTTTAAAGCTCAGAATCATCTTCTATTTGAATTTACCTTTTGTTTTAGCCACACTTGTAATCACATGTAAGTAAATATTTCCAACCCTTATATGTATGCAGAATTAAAATGCTTCCAGGAGAAAATGAGGTAAACTGTCTTTGAATATTTCAGTTCATCTGGTTACGGACCTATACCAGGTCCCTGAATTTGATAAAATCTATAGTCCTACTTACTGCCAAAAGATTGTCCTTAAAGGCTATGCTCATTACTTCATTCCTGTGATTAGAAATCTAAAGAAAACCTGTTTCTCACCATATCAAATATAAAACCTGATTTCCTAACTATGTACATTGTGTGTGTGTGTGTGTGTGTGTGTGTGTGTGTGTGTGCGCGCGCGCGCGCGTGTGTGCGTGCATTCCTAGAGCTTGAACCCAGGGCCTCCCACATGCTAGGCAAGCACTCTACCATTGAGCTACACCCTTAGCCCCCTAACTACCTACTTTTATTGTATCTTGCTTACCTCTTTCTGTTTATGTTCTCTTCCTTCAAGTTGGGCCTAGATGAAGCCTTGACCTCTTTCACAAAGTAATATTCAGCCACACCAATCCACAGTCACTGAAGCATTTCTGAACTTAAACTGTGAAAATGAGCTCCATGTAATATAGCACCTAGCTTGTTTTCTGATTCACATTAATTCTACTTTCCTGGCCAGACTGCAAATTCTTTGTTAAAGGACTATTTTTATACTTACTTGATTTCCATTTAGTTGGGGTTCCTCCAAAAGCAGACCCATGATAAGGACTCAGGTGCAGTTAGTTTATTTGGGACTAAATTCCAGAACACAGTGATGGGATCAGGAATGTAAAATGAAAAGGAGCAAAAAAGTCAGCTAAAACCCAGGTGTGGTGGCTTTGACACCTGTCAATCCCAGCACTCTGAAAGTCAAAGCCCAGCCTGAGCAATTAAGTGATTTATTGAGTTCCAAAAAAGTGAAAAAGAGTGGGAGCTGTAGCTCAGTGTGAAGGCCCTGGGTTCAATCCCCAATAAAAAGCACATTCATAAGCCAGTTCCCACTATGGATCGCCAGAGCTCAGTCCAGCAGGAGCACTAAGGAATAATACAGGAATTGACTCATTTGAGGGTGGGGAAGTTGGAGCATTTATGCAGTAGCTACTATCCCATCTTGGTTAAGAGTTACCCCCAAACTCTCCACACTTTGGTATTGTACTTTTGCATGGCTGAGGAGTAGAATGCCATGTACGCTGGTGCATGGAACTGGTGCTTGGGAGTGTACACACAGCTGTACCAAAACGAGTCAGATAGGCGGCAGGGTGCCTCCAGACCTCTTCCTTGAGAAGTAGAGGAGAATTAAATCTCGGGCCTGCCAGTCACATGACTTTGAACAAGCTGTGCAACCTCTCCGGTCCTTAGGCTCTTCTTCAATAATAGGGAGATTACAATGCATTTTGCCCATTGTTCTTCTAAGGAAAGTGCCTCGCCCATACCAGATGTTCCATGAGTTGATTCATTTCTACTAATAGTCAAGAGAGAAACACTGAAATTTATTTCACTTGAGGAATTGAGTCTGTCAAAAATTATTCATTGTGTTTAGTAACTGCTCTTATCCAAATAATTTTGAAATTATTACTTAATAAGATGGGGACTAAGGTGTAACTGATAATATTTTCTTTCATAGGTTACCCAGGAGATTTCAGACGAAACAAGAGTTTTCCGCTTATTAGGATCAGACAGGTAATGGTTTGTTTTTTTAATTACCTAGAGTTCAGGTTGTACTCTGAATTATACTGTCAGCCTGTACTTGTGTTTCGGTCAAAACTCTTAAAGGTTTATCAACTTAGAGAAATTTCTCCGTATCTGTTTTGAGAGGGTAATATTTTAGTAAATCAAGTTAGCAATCTTTCTTCAGTGTAAAGATCGTGGTTCTAGAGACAGTTATATTCAACCAAGACAAAATGTGCTTGTAGATGTTTATGTCCCAGAACCTTGACAGATATTTCTGGGCCCTTTCTCTCCACCGCCCTTCCTGGTCTATACTCTTCTATTAACTGTTATAAATATACACCTCCCACTATTTGCTTTTATATCAGAAAATGTTAGCTTGGTTTTTAGGGTTTCTCAAAATTAGCAGGAACTGCCCTGTATGTATTCTTTTTGTAAGCAAAATAAGTCTCAAAATTGGGCCATCTTAAGGAGAAAAATGGTAGCTTTTGTTCCCCAAAAGTCTAACTCTGTAACTAATAAAATCCCCACTCCTTCCTGCTTTCACACCAAAAGTTGTTCCCACAATAGAATTGGCTACAGTAGTTTGCACTGGTT